TCAGATTAGCATCCCCCAAACTCTGAATTCATTATTTCTTTTCTCAAATGTGCTTAATGGTTCTTTTCCATCTGTTTAATTAAGTGGCCTTCACAAACAACCACAATCAGGCCCGGTCTACTTTTCTTATCTCATTAATCTCTCCTCCCTCCTGGACCAAGTGATGTTCTCTAAACTATTTAGTTGGGTCCACACTTTCCCAACTTCCTGGCTCCTATCTTCCAGAATGCATTCCTATCCCTAACTGTGGAAATCCTATTCATTCGGGGAAATTTGCTTTTTTAAAATTTTACTTTAAGTTCTGGGATACATATGCAGAACGTGTAGGTTTGTTACACAGGTATATATATGCCATGGTGGTTTGATGCTCCTATCAACCTGTCATCTAGGTTTTCAGCCCCAAATGCATTAGGTATTTGTCCTAACGCTCTTCCTCCCCTTGCCCCCCACACTCCAACAGGCCCCAGTGTGTAATGTTCCCCTCCCCGTGTCCATGTACTATTAACAGTATGTATGTTCCCTTTAACAACTATTCATTTTACTACTATTCACCTTTAACTTCCCTTTTTCATAAATGTTGGGTCATGAAGTCATGTCACCAGTTTATGGGAGCAAAGATATTTCCAATTGAACTTAATGCTAAAAATCTAGACAGCTGCCATGGTATTTCTTAGAACTCATAAAATGAGTGTAAAATTATCTTGTCCTCTTCTGTTTTTATTTTATTCCTGACCCAGGCAATGACTCTAACATTAATGTTAGTTCATTATAAGTGATTCATAGAAAAATAGTTGTTTGGCTAAAAGCAATAATATATTTTAAATTTATCAAATCAGGATATGAAGGTTTAGCAAGTCATAGAGTCAGATTTCAGATTATATCCTTGTCTTTTCTTTGCAATTCATAATGAATGGTACATTTTGTAGTCAATTGCTGGCTGTCTTAGTCTGTTTGGGCTATAAAAAATACCCGAGACTTGGTAATTTATAAACAACAGAAATTTATTGCTCATAGTTCTCGAGGCTGGGAAGTCCAAGATCAGGGCACCAGCAGATTTGGTGTTGGTGGGGACACATTCTATTTGAAAGGGGCCTCCACCAGACACTAGGTGTTCTTGCATGACAGAAGGGACAAACAGGCTCCCTCAAGCCTCTTTTATAAAGGCACTGAAGAGCCCTCAGGACCTAATCACCTCCCAAAGGATGCATCTCTTAATATGTAAACATTGGGAATTAGGTTCCAACATACGAATTTTAGAGGGACACAAATTTCAGATCATAGCACTGGTAGAATAATTTACAACTTCTGGTAAAGCAATGTGCTTAACCAAAGAAGTTTCATGAATCAAATATGCCTGTCATTTACACAAATGAAGTCAATGATCTTCAGTAGGATCAAAAACCAATTAGACAACTTGGATGAATCTTAAGAGAATTACGCTGAGTGAAAAAATAAGACCAATCTCAAAAAGTTACAAACTATATAACTTAATTTAAATAGCATTTTTGAAATAAGAAAATTATAGATATCGAAGTCAGTGGTTGTCAGGGGTTAGGGATTGGGAAGGAGGTGTAGGGAGGGGGTGGGTCTGGCTCCAAAGGGGCAGAAAGTGGGAGGTGTGTGATGTATGAATGTGGTGCTTACATGAAGCTGCACAGGTGATAACATTGCATAGAAATATATACACGCACACACCCTGAAATTTGAATCAACTCTGTGGGTTGTACCAAGGTCAATTTCCTAGCTCTGTTGGTATACTATAGTTAGGCAAGGTGTTACCACTGGGAGAAGGGCTGGGTGAAGAAACTCTTGACTTCTCTATGTATTATTTTTAAACTTCCTGTGAACCTGTAATTATCTCAAAATAAAAAGCTTAAAAATCAGACCTTGCCTTGTCATACTAGAGAAGGATCTGCAAACGAGGTCAGGAGGTAACATAAGTGTATCAGTCCATTCTCATGCTGCTAATAAAGATATACCTGAGACTGGGTAATTTAAAAAGGGAAAAGGTTTAATTGACTCACAGTTCTGCATGGTTGGGGAGGCCTCAGGAAACTTAAAATCATAGCGGAAGGCCAAAGGGAAGCAAACACATCCTTTTTCACATGATGGCAGAAAGGGGAAGTGCCAACAAAAGGGGGGAAAGCCCCTCATAAAATCATCAGGTCTCATGAGAACTCACTTACTATAATGAGAACAGCATGAGGATAACCGCCCCATGATTAAATTACCTCCTACCAGGTCTCTCCCACGACACATGGGGATTATGGAAACTACAATTCAAGATATGACTTGGGTTAGGTCACAGCCAAACCATATCAATAAGTAAGAAAAGTGGCTAGCAGAGGCAAGGTTAGTGCTGTGGCCAATGTCAAGGATTCAGCTGCTCTTTAGCTCTTGCCATGGGGGACCTCTATGCCTGGAATTGCTGAGTCTTCTGAGTGCTGTTGTTTTTTATAAAATGCGGCACATCTAAATTTCTAATGAAATTCTGACTTTTAAATATTAATAGCTATTTTTCTTTTCTTTCTTTTTTTTTTTTTTTTTTGAGATGGAGTCTCGCTTTGTTGCCCAGGCTGGAGTGCACTGGTGTGATATTGGCTCACTGCAACCTCCGCCTCCTGGGTTCATGCAATTCTTGTGCCTCAGCCTCCCGAGTAGCTGGGACTACAGGCGCATACCACAATGCCTGGCTAATTTTTGTATTTTTGGTAGAGACGGGGTTTCGCCATATTGGCCAGGCTTATTGTGAACTCCCAACCTTGTGATCTGCTCACCTTGGTCTCTCTTTTGAACACTGTAGAGGCCAAACTAGAAAGCTAGATTTGTGTGCAATGGCCATTCATGTGCAAACTCAGCTTCCAGACAGAGGTTCATTTTGGCTCCCAGATAAATTCTACCTTCAACAATCTGGTAATCTCAGTGCACAGCTCACACTGGTTTGTAATCTCTTAGGAAACAGGGAGAGATGGTCACTTTTGAGGCAGTAAATGTTCTTATCAGGCCACTAATGAAAATGTCTTAAGCCACCAATCATTGACAGGGATTCTGTAGAATGTCAGCATTCATTTGATTGCAGCTCAGACTGATGCTGCTGCGACTGGAATCTCCTGTTTACTCTGTCCAAGACCTTCACAACCACTTCGTCAGTATGCTGTCTAAGGTGTAGTAGGTGCTCAGTCTGTGTTGTTAGAAATATTCATTTGTTCTTCCTCAGCTGTCTTAGTTCTTGTACATTTTAAAGCTAAAAGAGGTCTACAAAAACTGAGAAAATGAACTAAAATCTGGTATCTTATGCCACAGTTTTCATGTGGCTGATGCAATGGCCTGGTGACTATACTTTATATATAGATGCCAGCAGTACCCATATAATCTATGTCTCTATTTGAAGCTTTGAATATAAGCCTCTTACTCATTATCAAAAAATGAGTTGATCAAGGTGCTTGTAAGATCCTCATTCCAGTTTTGGTTCCTTAAAGTCTTTATCATCTCTGCCCTGTTAAATGTTCAGAATCTAGACATTCCTTCCTCCCCAACTCCCAACCAGGCCATCTGACTCAAAAGAAGTGAAAGGAGGACATAGCATGTTCTTCACAACTTACAAAACAGCTCCAAGCACACTGTCTGTGAGCCAGTAACACCCCAATCCACCCCCGCATGTTTCAAAAGCACCATGTGCACTAATCAGACATCCATGTCCAGTCTAGCAGCTTGGGTACACTCAACTCCTTCACGGAGTGCCGAGAAAAATTAAAACCTTTCAGCTTTTAAAATTTCATCTATGGCCTAATTATACATTCTCAAAATCAAATTTAAAATGATTAAGTGATTCATTTCCATTAATTCTGTTCTCTTTCCCCAAAGTCATCTGCTAATAAGAGTCCAGAGAATGTTTTCTAATCCTCCTTTAAAAAAGAGACTATTTGTAGGTATTACATAAATATATATCAGTAAGAGGTCTTTCTTGTTTGCCATTTTCCACAAAGCTCTTTAATATGTAGACTTTTAAAAGGGTTGGTTCTCAGTCTTGAAAATTATGCTAATGAGGCAAGAGCAATAATTCAAATTGTAGCCACTAATTTCTCTAAGGGAAAATATGCAGAGACCCTGGGCTCTACGTTTGTTTTTAACTAATTATCATGTATTTACTTTTCCGTTAGTCCAGTAATTTTTCTTTCAATTCAGAATTAAGCAATATGACACTGAATTATATAAAGGCCTGTTTAGCATAGGAGACACACCTCATCATTTCCTAGTATTCTGATTTACAGCTCTTAAAATGCACAACCGAGAGGCTGTCTATATGCCCTTTTGTATTTACATTCCATCATGCAGTCACCTCAATAACTTATGCATTCTCAGAAGGTCTACCTAGCAATTAACTCCAGTCTTTTCTAACTCACCATCTCATTATGTAAAGTGGATTTGAACATAAACTTTATTAGCAACTTTCAGTTCTAATTCCTTATTTCCCCCACCCCCACTCTGCTGAACAATGTCAGTTTATATGTGACAAAAATGCTTTGGAAAATGGCAGTTTAAAAAATCCATGTTGGACTGGCAGCACATTTAGTAATTAGTTTTTGCACAGCTAAAGCATGTGATCCAGTTTGTCATAGAAATGGAAACGAATCGAATTCTCCCTGCTTTACAACATAGCCTTTTGACTATGTTTAGGAGGAAAAGACAATGAGGAAATCTATCATTTTTATTCAAAAGCTCAAAATCTAAAAACAACAAAACAAAACGCAAACAAACCAACCCAAACTCCTTTGCTAAAAGTAAAGGACTTCTTAGTATCTCTTCTTCAAACTCAAGAAAGAGGACTTTCCTCACGCATATGAAGTGTATCAGCTGAATAGTTGAAATGGGGTTTAATGTACATGTTCTTGTGGTAAAGAAAAGGGGGCTGATGAAGGTTCTCATAGAACTAAAGGAATGGCAGCACCTGAAGACAAAGTGTCCACTGTGTGACAGGGAGATGCCTGCAACTGACTCACCAACGTCGGGGTCCACGGCTTGAACTCTGGTCAACAGAGCCTTGGTGGCTGTGTTCTCATAGACGCAGGCATTGTAGTGGTCAGAAGAAAACACAGGGGGGTTATCATTCACGTCCTCCAGGATTAGGTGGATGTTCGACTGGCAGAATCTGCCACCCCCGTCAGTGGCCTTGGCCATAAGGCTGTACACAGGGACCCTTTCCCGGTCCAACAGAGCCAAGGTTTTTAACTCGCCTGTGAAAATAAATGGCAGCACAATTGGTCTGAGTTTTTAAAAACTGTCTTTCTTTGGAGAGCAGAGGACCAATTACATACACAACTCTCAACATAGGAAGGACTAATGTCATTTGGCCTAGGTGTCCCATACTTAAAATGTAGCAAATCCAACAATTTATGTGTATGGAAAAATGTATGGGATTCTAGATGCAAAAACAAAACAGCTGTGTGACTTTCAAATTAATCCCTTTCGAAACCTCTGGTATAAGGGGCTCTTTCTTTTGACTACATGGAGAAACCTCAAACCTCTTTAAACCTCTCAAGATCTACTCTGGAGATCAGTCTCTGGATTTCTGCTATATGTCCAGAAAACACACAGAGAATGGACTTGTATCTCTAGTTCTCTGATGGTCAATATTGTCAACAACCCACAGACCTAGAAGGGCAGTCTCTTTGCCTCCAGATACTCAACTTTTTACTCCATCATTTGCAGGAAAACAGGTATGAAAACAGAAGCTGGCTTTAGGGGAGCAGGGTCTTGAAGGACCCCGATTGTGCAAGGGTTAACCCTTAACTTGCTGGATTGTGGAAGGGCCTGACGTTGCTTGGGGAGGAGTCAAGTGGGAGAAAACTTGAGGAGCATGGTAAAGCAGCTTCTTAGCATCCCACATGGAGCAATGTTATGTCTGTATTTTAACCACTGGAATAGCTGTATTGGTGCTGGATACCAGCTTGGGTGCAGATATTTTTGTTGTTTAAGTTTCATAAGATAATGACAACAAGCACAGTGACAAACCTGAATAAATGTTATTTGGTGGAAAGTATGACTCATGAAATATTATCACTCCTAAATAAAATGAGTAGGTATTATTTGGATGAAGCCCCCTTTATTTATTTATTTATTTATTTAATCTATTCATTTATTTTGAGACTGAGTCTTGCTCTGTCGCCCAGGCTGGAGTGCAGTGGCACAATCTCTGCTCACTGCAAGCTCCGCCTCCTGGGTTCACACCATTCTCCTGCCTCAGCCTCCCGAGTAGCTGGGACTACAGGTGGCTGCCACCATGCCCAGCTAATTTTTTTTGTATTTTTAGTAGAGACGGGGTTTCACCGTGTTAGCCAGAATGGTCTTGATCTCCTGACCTCGTGATCCACCCACCTTGGCCTCCCAAAGTGCTGGGATTACAGGCGTGAGCCACTGCGCCTGGCCGAAGCTACCTATATTTATTAAGGGAGTTCATCTTTTAGCTTCCCGGCCATGGCCAGCCAGTTCTTGGATACAGGCTGGATCATTTCCCTCTCCTACTCAAAAAGCATCCAGGGCATTTCATTGGAACATTCAAGACACGCCACAATCTGGCCTAAAGTAGTTTTCCCTCCACTTTTGTATACGACATTACCTGGATGCGCTATGCTCTCTGCTCATGCTGTTCCTACAACTTGCAGTTTCCTGTTTAAGCCACTGAGAATTCTGACTCAGTTCAAATGCTAGTTTTTCCTTTAAGCAGTTTCCTTGTCTTATCAGAATATTAGTTACATCTTCATCTGTGCCCAGATATGGCTCCCCTTATGTTTCTCCTGAACACTCATTTCATTGTGCCTTACATTATTACTATTAGTTTACTTGCCTGTCTTCCCTACTGGATTACAATATCCCTTGGGCATGATTTATTTTGTTTATCTTAGAGTCTACCACAAATATCCCGTAAAGTGCTTTTATGTCTACTGGCTACTCAATAAATGTTACCTATTGAATAGATAGTCATCAGGCCCATATAGCTGAGTAGTATATTCCCATGTAGCTAAGTCAGTGCTTCCTTGTAGGATGCAACTTCTTATGGGAGTGGGGCAGGGAGGAGCCACTACCTTTTTGGAGGCTCAATAGTCAGTTATTGTTCACTAGAATCAACACAACACTGAAAATATGCAAGCCAGCCGATCTTTATGCTTAAATTAAAAATGTCATTGGATGGGTCATCTAATCTACAAAACTAAAATAATTTGCCTCCATATAAAAGGCTTTTCCATTAGCTCTGGCCTTCAATGCAGGCATCTGCCTTTAGCACCTTGTCAATTTTACCTGAATGTACAACCAAGCAAATCTGAGGGCTCATAGGTTTGGATAAACTAGGCAAGCAAGTTTGATAAAAACTAGACAACTGTGTTAATAAGAACCAGAAAGGGACCCTAAAGACATTTCAAAGTGAGAAAAATTCTCCTTCCTATGAATTGCTGTCTGGTTTTTATGGCAACCTGCATTTGTGATATAACTTCATTTATACCTGTTACGAGCATATACCTTAAAACTTACAGATATGAGAAACAAGAGAAGCAAACAGAGATGTCTCCTTACTTGATGCTATTAAATGTAGGTAAAGTCTGGGCAAGTTTTACAAAGGAAATAAAAAGTTTCTGTGGTCCAGAACACCCATATTTGGATGTGCTCCTATAATTTCTTAGAGCCCAAGATACTGAACATCATATTCTTGGGGTACAGAGGATGATACCCCAAAGTATTGCGCTTTGGCATACGGAGCACCTTCAATTAAAAAAAATTTGGAAGGCCTTAAAGCTGCCTTAGAACCAAGAACTTTCAAACTTTCTCTTATTCCCCTCATCTCTCTCAAGTGCAGGTGAAGACTCTCTTTGAAATTTCCTCATCTAAGAAAACTTCTTTCCAAAAGAAATGCATTTGTCTTAGGATCCCCCTGCATAGAAATCTCATCAAACAACTGGGAAAGATTGACCACTAGAGAAGAGAAAAGAGACTAAAAGTCATCACCACATCCAGACAGATTTTCCATCTCCTCTTCTGAGGGCAGCTCCAAGAGATTAACTGGGAGACTTTATCTGCATAACTAGATAACCTTTGTTCACAGTCAGTTCAATCCCTTACCTTCCCAACTTTTTCCAGTTCCATTGAGTTTCCTAGGAGAATTATTTACAAAATAATGGATGCCCTCCAGGTTATTCACTCCCCCTAAAAATCCTTGACTATTCCTCTAAAATTGCCTACAGTTCCCCAACTTCCGTCTCCCCTAGCATTAACCATCTGGCCCTTCTTTGAGTCTCTTATTTTTGAGGCTGTGGTACCCATGTTCACATAAGTAAATCTATATGCCTTTTCTCCTGTCAATCTGTCTGTGGTCAGTTCATTTCAGCAAATATTCAGAAAGGATGGACGGGAAATTTTCCCTCCATCCCTATAAGAGCAAGTATACTACTAACTATTTACTAGTGATGAGACCACATAAGTCTAACTTCTCTCATGGATTAACAATGATATTTACCCAAATAATAAATTTCAGCTTACCACTTTCTGGATCTAGAAAAAATTCACTGTTTCCAGATCCATAGAGTGAGTATCGTATATCTCCATTGGATCCAATATCAGCATCCTTTGCACTGACTTTCAGGATGATTTTATTTGATGGAATGTCTTCAGGAAGTAATGCTGTATATGCAACCTGGACAGAGGTGAAGAAAGGTAATAAAAATCATTAGTATTTGTGGGGGCAATTGCCATATTTAGCATTATATAGGATTTCTTTAAAAATTCATTTATATAATTTAGCTTTTGTTATTTTTTTCCTTCACTACAGAAACATATTACAATATATTATGAAACATCATATATCTGCTACTCTACCACTCCCATGCTTATTCATTTAACAAATATTTAATGAGCATCTACTATGCGTTAGGTACCATTCTAGACACTAAGAGTACCATGGCAAAGAAAACAGAAGAACATCCCCACTCTTGTGGAACCATAACACATACCACACATTGACCATGGTTGTCGGTTTTTCTCTTGAGCCCCAATGAGTCCTAGGAATTCTCTTCAACTCTTTAAAGAGCCACTACCAGCATTTGGCATTAGTATGAGAGACTAAATCTATTTGCAATACTTTTCTAATCTATAGGACACCAATATTGTCTCTCGGTCTACATGATAGAAAAGAATAAATAGCGATTTAATTTCGGTATGAGAAAACATAAAATCTAGTACTTGTACCTTGCATTGGCATTATGTTTTATATAGTAGTAGAAAGGCCACTTCACAAGGAGCGTGGAGACCAGTGTTCAGCACCAACATTACCACTAACCAAATACGTAAACTTATATAAACAAGTTAACATCCTGTAGAGTGGTCCATTTCTCTTTTATGATATCAGTGATTTAAACAGAATAAGTACTAAAGTCCTTTATGACTTACTCAAAAAATTATTTAAGACATTTTTTTTTTTTGGTGGGGGCAGGGTACAAAATTAGGTATCTGATCTTACTACCTATACTCTTTTCATGTTTTCAATATTTCTTCCTAAACATCACCTCCTACCCTCTTACACCCAATTGCAGATAAGAGCAGAAGTTTTCCTGGCCTTAAGAAGCAAAGTGAAATGGGCTTTGATTTGATTTTGGAGAAGCATAGTAAAAGCAGAGCCCTATTCCCAAATCTCACCTGCTCACACACTGGGCTATTGTCATTCACATCACTGACGCTCACTTCCACCATGGCCTGTGTGACAAAAAGCCCGTCAGTGGCAGTGATATTGAGAAAGTAAATGTCCTGTTCTTCTCTGTCTAGAGGCCTCTTCACATAGACCTTCCACTCACTTTGCACCAGGCCCAGAGCAAACCTTCCTCGAGGGTTTCCTCCTGCAGTTAAAAAAACAGAAGAGCTTTTGAAGATGTGCAATGAAATGTCTTAATCTACACCTACCTTGAGAGGTGCATGTGGGGTCATCCAAGTACTCCTCAAACTGTATCATTTAGGATACTAAAAAGATACTGAAACTCCCTTTGATTCTGGGGCAACAAAGCATGATATTTACATGCTTGGCTTCTGTGAAAAGCAAAACAGTAACTTTCCAAGATAATAAAATCCACTTAGAGAAGCTGGAGATGATCTCTTGTTTAGTTCTCCTTAAGAACAATCAAATTCAAACTGTGAACAATCAATCGTCTTCTCAGGCTGACACAATTGTCTTTCCACTGAGTCTCAAGAGAGGATGTAATACACTCTAGCTCTTGTTACCAAGACAATTTCATTAGCCGTTGATTATGCAGTCAAGGAAAGGCAGTTAGTTCTATTAAGGAATCTTTTAATGAAGGCGTTATCATACAGCTGTGCTCTTCTCATAAGAACTGGAGTTTGGGGGAGAAAAGTTTTCACCACAGAGGAAGTCCCATTAGTGTTAAATAGCCCTAATGAGGGGTCATTTAAAAAGCAGTTCAAAGATAAGCATTGCAATTAGACCAAATGTATCAGAGTGAAGCTGGGGAACATGGAAGAAAAGAAAACAGATGAAGAGGAACAGCTTTTTAAGATGCTGAAGCACTGACAGCGGTCCCAGCAATATGACTTTTCCACATCATTAAGCTACATGGGGGCAAAAGCAGCTTGGGGAACAAGACAGGAGGAGGAAGGAAGAAGATCACAACCATGACATAATCCGCAAGAGGGGAAAAATGTCATTTCAGACACCGAGAAAGACTGGGCAAGACTGCTGGCAATAAGTTAGGAGTCAGGTTTGATCATCACTATTTCATTTATTTGGACATTCAAGTATTTATCATATACTCTGGGCCAGGCATTGTTCTAGGCAGCAGGGCTATGTCAGTGGACAAAACCAGCAAAAATATTTGCTGTCACGGCAGAGATCACATTCTGGAGGGAAAGACTGAAAACAAACAAATAAGGAAAGTATACTGCATCCTGACTACTACTTCGTTGAAAACGTGGAGCCATATCCCCTACTTACAATGAATCTTTACAAAGCAGTGGGCAAATATCAGGGTCCTACTGAAGAGACGGAGTGGGATTCTGAGTGCCAGACCACATTCTTGCTTATAAGGCAAGGGGCTGCTTAGTCTGAGGGCCTCAGCACTGGGAGTGGGGGCAAGTCACAGTGGAATACAACGAAACCAAATCAGCCAGTGTAGAAAAGGCAAGAGCTGCATATTCCTCTGGGGCAGTGGTTCTCAACTGGAGACGACTGTGCCCGTCCCCTCTGTGGGCATATTTGTCAATGTCTGGAGACATTTTCGCTTGTCACTTTGGTGGGAGGGAAGTGATGGTGGTGGTATGTGCTACTGGCATTTAGTGGGTAGAGGCCAGGGATGCTGCCGAACATCATACAGTGCAAAGGACAGCCTCCCTCAGCAAAGAATTATCTGGCCCCAAATGTCAATAGCAGTGTGGCTGAGCAACCCTGCTTGAGGGAGCTTCAGGGTCCTCCCTGGGATATCACTTTCCTCCACCACTGGCCAGGATTCAATTATGCTTTAGTTGAATATTATTTCAACGCACACAAATTTAACCTCTCTATTAAATGCTTTCAGTGCAGGCCCACACTGTTCTTTTGTTACATAAAATGATTAATGGTCCTTTGTTAATCGGAGGCAGCACAGCCAAGTTGTGTTACACCAAGAGCAAAAGTTAAATCTAATTAAAATCAGTTGGTGGTTGGCACTGCTAATAGTAACAGTAGCTTTAAGCTACTCTGTACTCATTACTTTGCTAAAGTCAATGGGATAGTCCCTTTAAATCATCCATTGACAATTCAGAGGCTATCTATAAATAATTAAGGCTGAGTATTTTACAGTTTTTCCAAATAGAAAAGGACGCTTCAGAATGCCTAAGCAGCTTTTTTTTTTCCTGAAAATAAATGCAAATGAATTAAAGTGATGCTTCACTCACCTCTTTCTTCACTATCTTTCATGTTTTAACTGCAGAAATACATATTTTAATGAGAACAGAAAGTCTCAGATAAATCATAAAATGCATAGTGTTTCAAGGGGAAGACATCACCAAGAGAACTGTCCCATAAAGAAAAAGGAAGAGAATCATGCTGAAAAGTGTGGCAACCCCAAGCATTGACACGTTTGCTCTACTGTGAATCTTACTCTGCAGTGATTAATTAACTTTCCTACTAACATACTTAAGCAGATTCTATGTCCTAAGGGCATTCTAATTAATTCATTTTTCACTCTAAATGATGTAGTTTTTCTAAAGGGAAGACACCTGACTACAAGTATTGATGATTCTTTACAATCTTTTGGCACTTTGTTTATGTTCTGCCTTTGAATGTGACAACATCAAAATATTAGCTTTAACCCACCCCCCAAATAGTTTTTAGGAAGAATGTTCCCACACTGCCAACCCTCTCCTCTTTCAGCTAAAGGTCAGCTGCCCCCTGGGAAACTACTCTGAGATGAAATCCTTAGCCTCTCAGGGCAACAGTGACATTTTCTGTGCCTTCTTAATGACTGACTTTGTCTATCTTGGCTTTCCCCTTGAATTGCTACTTGCTAGTCTGAAAGACAGAAAAGAAATCCAAAAAAATTTGGTTGTCAGAAGAAATACCCCTTGATTTGTAGTTATAATATAGGATTTCTCAGGGAAGGATCAAACCATGCCATCTAATGTGTGTACGTGGGTGCACATGTGTTGCTATGGCCAGGAGAAGTGTGCCTGTGAAGCCTACTGTGATCAAGCTATTTGTTTTGCTCAGTATTGCAAAAGGTAGAAAAAAGGAACATGCTTAAAAGCAGAACCTCTCCACCAGAAAGTTGTTATTTTCATTCCTTCAACTGAGATATTTGGCTGGACTCCTTTTTAAATAAGAAGAGGTGACACAAAGACTAGTTACCAATGTGGGTAACACGTTTACGACAAACCTGTGAACTCCAAACTAAGGCTGAGTTAGCAACAGCCAACAAGCAAAAAACGCAGTCTTCTCAGAGATCCTTTACTCAGCTCCAGAAAGGCTTCATTACACTCGACTCCTTATCCCATCTTCCTTCTCTCTTTACTCTTCCCTCTGCCATCTTCCATCTTTCTTTATAAAGCAGAGCACATAATGAAAACTAGGGGTGTTTACTCACCTGTAATATGGTAGCTCACTTGGCGATTAATGTCGGACGTATCTCTGTCCCAGGTGCTGAGGATGGCTACCACCTCGCCCGGTGGGTCGCTCTCCTTCACATTCCCTCGGTACACTTCCTGCGCAAAGACTGGTGCATTATCATTTATATCTGTCACTCTGACAGATACCAAGGCCGTGGAGGAGAGAGAGAATGCCTCTCCAAGGTCAGAGGCCACCACAGAGAAGGTGAATGTGGGGTCTGTCTCATGATCTAGGTCCTTCAAGGTACTGATCCAGCCCGTGTTGCTGTCAATATTGAATGCTTCCATTACCTTTTCAGGCTGGGAATCCGAGTGCAGGGAGTAAATGACTTGTCCATTGGCGCCCCAGTCCATATCAATAGCTCTCACTTGTGTGAGTTTGGTGCCAACAGGCATCCCTTCCATTATAATAGTGTCGTAGCTTGAAGTTTCAAAGACTGGCTTGTTGTCATTCAAATCCAATACCTTGATATCTACATCCACAGTAAACACAATGTCTACTTTGTCCAGGGGTATAGTGGCTGCTACTTTAAAGTGGAAAGCTGGGCTGGTTTCATGGTCAAGGCGTTTGTCAAGTTTAATGGTGCCTGTTTCCTGTTCTATGACGAATACGCCCCCTTTGTTATTTTCTGGCCGTTCCCCATTAACTGTGCTGAATCGGACATTCTGACTGGGCAAAATCCTCAGGGTGTCCACTGTACTCCCAATGGCTGTATCTTCTGCAATGGTAAAGGAATACTGAGACTGGGTGAATGATGGCAAGAATGTTTCAGGGGGCAAGACGTGGATATAGACAGGAATAAGGGAGTGCTTTACTGGGATGCCCCCATCTACTGCTTTGACAAAGAACGAAAGCACTGTATTTTTCAGCTGGTTAAAATTACCCTTTGTGACCATCCAGCCATTGTCAGGATCGATTTCCAGGAGGTCAGCCACTGAAACAGAGGCCTCGCTATAGAGGGAATAAGTAATCCTTGAATTTGCTCCATCATCGGGATCTATGGCTTGAACTTGAGTGACCAAGTGGCCCTTTCCAACATCTGCCCTGACACTGGCTCTATATTCCACTGTCATGAACTGGGGAGCATTGTCATTTTCATCCACAACAATCACTCTCACAGTGCAGAAAGTTGTTCTCCCTCCACCATCAAGGGCCCTCACAAAAATACTAACATCTCCTTCTAGAGGGTTTTCCCGGTCTAGCCTTTCTGTGGTGATGACCTGCCCATTGCTGTCTATGAGGAATCGATCCTTGGCAAAGTCATTGATGATGGCATAGCTGATCTGCCCGTAAGTCCCTGGATCACCATCTGTGGCTCGAACATGAATTACCTTTGTTCCTGCAGCCGCGTTCTCTCTCACCTCAGCTACGTATGTGCTTTGTGAAAAGGCAGGGCTGTACAAGTTAGCCCCAAGTACTCTAATATGCACCTGTGCAGTACTGGTGAACAACCCATCAGAGACAGACACATTGAGACTGTAGAGAGGCTCCATCCGCTGCTTCCGGTGGTTGGACAGTGTGATAACTCCACTCTTGCTGTCCATCAGAAAGCTCGTCCGGTCATTCCCAGATAAAATGCTATATTCCAACCGGTCAAAATCAGAGCTGTCTGCATCAGAGGCTTGTACACAGGTTACAAAATGGCCCCGGGGGGCTAATTCACTCACATACGACTCATAAATGAGCTGATTAAAAACTGGAGGGTTGTCATTTACATCAGAGATGTAGATATGAACCAGAACCTCACTGCTCAGTGATGGGAAGCCACTATCTGTTGATCTGACTTTCAAAGTGCAGTGTTGTACTAACTCATGGTCCAGCATCCGTGCTGTCAGGATTAAGCCACTTGAGCTATCTATGTGAAAATAATCTGTGCTATTGTAGGTATCCTGGACAATCTGATAATGTACCATTTTATTGTTTTCTGAGTCTGCATCAATAGAGACAACTTGTAAAACAGGTGTCCCAATAAGAGATGCTTCTGATAGTGTTGTATTGTATGTGGGCTGATCAAAAATAGGGGGATTGTCATTTACATCATTAACTAGCAAGTCAACAGTGACTTCAGCCCTAGCACCAGTGAGGGCATCGCTGGCTCTTATTGTCAGCTTGTAAGCAGATGTAACTTCATAATCCAAAGGGCTAACAACTTTCAGGACCCCAGTGTCAAAGTCAACGTTAAACTGTTTAAAAGGGTCCCCATCGATAATGATATATATGATGCCTTGGCCCTCTGGACTGGTGGCATTGATGCTTAGGATGGGTGTGTTCATTCTGATGTCTTCATTGACAGATGCTGTATAAAAGGGTTTATCAAACACAGGCATTGCTTTGTTGACAATAGTGATGGGAAGCTCCACAGACGTAGACAAAGAGGGTTTTCCACCATCCTTGGCCAGGATGGTGACTCCATACTCAATGTTGGACAAGTCAGAGTTGAATGCTTCCTTTAAAATAACATTCCCTGAATTAGGGTTAATTTCAAAGTGGCCATAGTCGTCCTGTAGGACATAAGTCACTTCTCCATTTGGACCTTTATCTTTGTCAATGGCTGTCACCTGATAAATCAGAGTTCCAGGTTCTGCATCCACTTGAACAGCAGCATAGTATGGGAGGCCCACAAAGACTGGAGAATTGTCATTTATGTCTTCAATGTTAACCCTGACCACCACTCTGGCCACACGCAGATGGTCCAGCTCACGGCTGGCTTCTACCACCAGCTCATATAACTCTTGTTCTTCACGGTCAAAGGGGACTCCAGTTGTCTGAATGACCCCTGAGGTAGATTTTATCTTGAACTTATTTCCTGGGTTTAAGATGCTGTATTTTAAGGGCTCATTAAGGCGGTTTCCAACTGCATTGACAATAGCAACTTTGGTTATGTTAGTGTTGTTCTCTGAGATTGAGGTGGAATAGAAGCTTTGTGTAAATTGGAGGCCACTGTCCATGGCTTCTTTAACCATGATGGTAACCATGGATGTACTGTAGAACTTTCCATCAGATACCTTAACTATCAGCATGTAGTGATCCTTGGAGAGGTTGTTATTTTTTATGGTAAGTACTCCACTGTTTGAGTCAATTAAAAAATGATCCAAGCTGCCTTCCATTAGGCTATATGTCAGTTCAGGGGGTACCTCAGAGTCAGGATCTGTGGCACTAACTTTCAGAACCTCCACTCCGACATACGTAGGTAGAAGTAAGACAGTCTCAAACACAGCCTGAGTAAAAACAGGCGGGTTATCATTCACATCTGTCACCTCAATGTTGACTTCAACGGGACTCTCTGCAGTCAGTTGGGGGCTACCACTGTCTCTCACATGCACATGAAAATGGAAATGGGCAATGGTTTCGTGGTCCAGGTTGGCAATTGTTCTAATTGCACCTGTACTGGAGTCCACCGTGAAAAACTTTTTGGCTGTCGACTCTACAATCTGATACACAAGCAGAGCATTCCGGTTGCTGTCAGCATCTGTGGCTCGAATCACCAGTGGGCTGTTATCCAAGCTCCTGACAATGCTGTTAATTGGGGCAGCCTCACTTAGGCTGCCTGAGTACTGAGAAAAGAGAAAAACTGGGGCATTATCATTTTCATCAACAATCTGAATATTGACTGTAGCATTGGAAGCCATTCCTGCCATATTGGTGGCCTGAATGATGAGCTGATAAGAGGATGTGCGCTCATAATCCAGGACCTTCCGAGTGGTGATGACTCCAGAATATGGATTTATGGTAAAGATCCCATTAATGTCTCCATCTTTGACTTCATAAATGAGGGTAGATTGACTGATGGCAGAGATTAGAATGACTGATGTTCCAATGTCAACATTTTCATTTACTTCTGCTTGGTAGTCTTTGTGAATGAACTTGGGGTGAGAATTGTCAGACATGGTGACAGAAATGCGCACAATTGCAGTGGCAGACATTGGCGGGGATCCCTGATCTGTGACTTTGATGGATAGGACAAACTGACCCATCGTCGTCATGTCTGGTTCTTTGCAAATGGTGATGATGCCTAGGACCGGTTCGATCTTAAACGTGTTCCCAGTGTTCCCTAAAATACAGAAATCAATGGTGAAATGAGTTACATTGTAGGTCACTGAAATCTTTCTGATTGGCTTTTTATCTACAGGTACTTTACTGCAATGTGGCAAGTAGAAAGCAATTATAGTACTCATTTGTGTCATTCTGAAATGAGAGGCCTCTCTTTCAGGGGTACTGAAAAGCAACAAAAATGAGCTTCCCAGTAATATGGTAAATTTCAGATCAGTAGCTTCTAGATCCAGGTTAAAAACAACAATGACAATAACACAGTCTTGTGTCATTCAAGTTGGTAAATAAGAGAGCCTGAAGGAGAGATCTTTTCTGCTAAGAATGTGCAGGACTTCCTTATTTCCAGCCTTGTGAGAAGACAGATAGATTGGGAAGCCCACATATGAATGCCACTGGTTTAGGCAGCAGTGTCATATTTTCTGTTCTAGGTTTAAAGAAAAGAGGGTTGTGGGAATAGTTTCAGAGCATTATAAAGTAGTCAGTTGTTTTCAGATTATCCCAAAAGCAAACTTCACTACATGGAATTGGTATTATTTCACCCTATCAAAAATGACTTTATCCAAAACACTACTTTGGTGAAGGAGTTTGTTCAGTCAGGCATGGAGAATTCTTGGCAGGTCATCATTTGCCTTGTAAGTGTGAGGAATTTTCGTGACTCCTCTTCTATTCTCCACTCATGCTCTACCCCTCTCCCATGCCTCTGAATGCACACATGCACACACCTAGACATAAAAGTAAACATACAAAGTTACAGGGCAGTTGCTCAATCTGTAACCATTCTATTCACCAAGCATTTGAGATATTTCTAGTGCACCAAGAAACTGTTGAGAATCTGAACCAGCACTGCAACCAAGAACCTAAGACATAATCCTTGTGAAACTGAAACCCGGGCACCCCACTTTGACATAGCTGGCAGGGGAAGGGCTATGGCTATGATACTGTAGCAGTTTAAGAGTTCTGCTTCAGAAACCTGTGGTGGTTTGAAACCTGGGATTGTTGAGAATGAGAGCAATAACAGAGGAATAAAGAATGGGGAAGACACAATGTGGAGTATGTAAAGAAGGTAGGTGGCGACAGAGCTGAAAGGCGGTGGGTAGCGCGAAGTTGTATCCTTCATCAAGTTGTTTTTGCTTTTCTTACCAAGCTTTCTCATACTTCTCAAAGAACACACATACTTCTGTGCTGAGATTCTTTCCAATCAAAAGTTAAAGATCTTGGTTATTCAACTCTATCTGGACTTTTCTTTCTTTTTGAATATTGTAGTATGATAGGCATGTAATTTAAATGTTGGAATCATTAAAATAGGGACCAGGATTTTCAGGGCAGTTGTAAGGTCTACATACTTCTTCCTACATGCTAATTATGTAAAGTTTTCCATGCCTGAACACAAAATGGTCATGTTCATGTAACATCTATTTCAAGAAGATACTTGCTTATTTTAAAAGACAAAGTATATCTAATAAAGAGGTCATTTTGATTCCAGCCCCCCAAATGTGAATATTAAACAATGTTGTCATTGATGTCAACATGATTTATTACTTTGCAACCTAAACATGGCCATTTTATGATGACAACAATAAAAAGTTCAATGATCTTATAAGTAAACTTTCAAGCTTGCAATGAATAGTGTCATAGAATTGAGTGTGAATCCAACAGGTGATTCACAGACCTTTGTAGGGGAAATCACCTCAACTAAGCAATGGTCACCTTCCAGTGATGGCACCAACATGTAACCTTGACTGATGAATGCTACTGGAGCCAGGGATCTCAGTATTCACTGATTATGGCGCCCCATTGCAGAGTTTCTAGGTAAGTCCTCCCTTACTCCACACCCAGCAGATTTCTTCATACCCAGCAAGACATGCTACGGTGGGGATGATGGGGAGTCAGCTTTTGACCTCAAATATAATTTTATGTGTTTTTTTTTTTGTTGTTTTTTGTTTGTTTTTTTTTTTTTGAGATGGAGTCTCATTCTGCCATCTAGGTTGGAGTGCAGTGGTGCAATCTTGGCTCATTGCAACCTCTGTCTCCTGGGTTTAAGTGATTCTCCTGCCTCAGCCTCCACAGTAGCTGGGACTGCCGGCATGCACCACTACACCTGGCTAATTTTTGTGTTTGTAGAGATGGGGTTTCGCCATGTTGGCCAGGCTGGTCTCAAACTTCTGACCTCGAGTGATCCACCCACCTCGGCCTCCCAAAATGCTGGGATTATCGGCATGAGCCACTGTGCCTGGCCTCAAGTAGAAATTCATAACCCTGCTACCCCATGGCTGCTGATCTGCTTGCGACACCCTTCCAGAATGGTGTGCTCATACATCAGGTCCAAAGTGGGCCCTCCTCCTCTTTCCCTCTTTGACACATTGACCCATTCTCTTGGACTCCACTTCCTGCTTATTCTTTCCTGCTACACTTGAATCCTGAAAAATTGACCTCTGTTTGTTTTTTGGAATCTATGGTCTCTGTAGATTTTTGGTAATTGAATAAAAGCTGTGCTTTTCTTATCATTCCTTATCTAGTACATAACACAGCATCTGCTACAAAGAAGTTGCTCAATATTTGTTGAATGATTGAGAGGAGAGGTAAATCTAAAAATATATTTTAAACTCTCTGTTCATACGCATCTTGGGATCCATATGCCCCGACCCGAACTCAACTCAGTCCCAGTCTCTCTTGTACAATCCTGCCTCAGACTCACCATTGACACCAAACACAAAACTCAAAGTAGATATAAGACCTGAAGCTCTGCACTCAAATTCTGCCTCAGTCCTTCAGGCCAAAATAAAAAGCTTCCATAGTCACTTTAGAGGACAGGCAGGAGACAGGAAATTTATAGCCCACCAATAAACAGAGTGAAATCTTGCTTATCTGATGTGTGTGAGAAAAGTTAAATAAAACATAATACTTTACACAACCATTTGTCATTTGCTTCAAAGTACTGAAGTATCTGGGATCTGCCTCTCTCCTACTCTCATCTGGGAAGAAACCTGCTCCCACCCTCGACTGGGAAGAAACCAGTGCAGCCCAGTGTGGGTTTGTCTGTCTGTGAAGAGGCTCACTGGCTATTTCAGATTTATTGTGAACATTGTAATCCTCACTAGTTTCTTACATACAATCAAAGGTCATTTTTTTTTTTTCTTTTTTTGAGATATCAGTTGTTCCCATGGTTTTCTGGAAGTTCGTGTTTTCTATATAAAAGGTGTTTTAAGGAAATAACTGTTCCGTCTTGTAGTCAGTTAAAGAAATGACTGGGCACCATGCTGTAGTCTGTAGAGGTCAAAAGATAAGCAGAGCAGTATTTGTGGTTGGATGGTAAGTTAAATTACTCCTTAAGAAACTCCAAACTGACTGAAACATTATCTGGATATCTCAAAGGAGTATAAGTAGCAGGCTTAATGACAAATATAAAAAGCAGGTAGAGACATACAGCAAATGTTTAGAACACGGTAAGAAAAGTAGAAATAAAACCCTATATCTAAATAATTACAGTGACATGAAGCAATGTATATGCATGAAGGAATATGGGGAAAAGAAAAACACACAATATTGGAAAAAACAATAGAAAGAATAAAAAGAGTTGTTGGTTTAGGTGACATTTTCTGGGATGTGATTGAAATATTCATGTTTTGGAAAAGTGTTCTTATATTATTTGTGGAACCCAACGAACAAAGATTATGTAATTAAGTAATAAAAACGTCCTGTGATAAATAAAAGATGTAAAATAGCATTTCTAAGAAAATACTGGTCAGGCTTTAGATTGAAAGGAAATTCCATGGAAACCTAGAAAAAAACAGGTGAATTCTCTCTGGGAACTTTGCTATTATGAATTCTTATCTTTTCTTTTTCTTCTTTTTCTTTTTTTAAATAGAGCTTAGCACAGACCCATGTAAAATGTGAGTGCCTAATACAGGAAATAGTTTTAAGTTATCATTTAATGCAAGAACTACTTTTTAGAAGGTTGTTGGCTTTTCTTTTTCTAAAATTTTTAGTCCAAAACTGTCATCCTAGCATTCATATTTTAATTCAACTCCTCTCAAAAATGCTCTACATTTAAATGAAGGGAAAGAAGCCTTTCCATCCCTGGCATGAAAGGAGATTGCATTTGGCATTATTCACGACAGACATAATGTTGCAGAACATTTTGGAAATAAGTGGCTTGAATATTCAAAAAAGACGGAATGCGGAAGAGAACACAGGCAGAGATAGGATATTTGTCATTTTTAGGTTTTTTTTCTTGCTTAGCTATTCATCTCTCGTCATAAAAGCTTTCTAGCTATCAGTCTTCAAACCGTCAGTAAACTATGGTCTTGCCTTATAGATGTTAAAATTAATTTTAAAACATCTAATTTTTTAAAAATTTAACAAAACAAGAGCCTGTATTTATTTGTCAAGTTCAGCAAGCAGTTCAGAATCCATATCTACCATCTACTCTGCTACTCAGGTTGCCTCCAAAGATGTGAATTTGTGCTGCGAGGTTGAAGGAATTTCTGAAGCCCACAGACCACCTAGTAAACAAAGACTTGTTAAGATTCAATTCACAGAACACCCTGGTAGCCCTCAGATTATCGGTGGCTTTGGTTATTTTAGTCTGAGGCCCTGGCTTGTTGGCCTACAGGTAAAAGCCAGTAAATTTATTGTGTATTTATTTTCTCTTCTCTATCCCAGAAAAATCCAAGATCAAACACAACAAAGGAAACTTTCCTTGCTGTTAATGATGGAAAACCTATTACTGAAGCGTCAAGAACTTTATCCACCATCATCTCCCAAATAGGACAGTGGCTTGGCCAAAAAAGTTCATTTAGAGATGTTCTATTGTTAATGATCTGAATTTTACACGGTGATAAATGCTACTGAGGGTCGAATGCCATGCATTATGCTGAAATTTGTGCAGTGCAACAGCTCTCACCTGCTTCTATGGTATATACGAGTTCTGCATTTTCTCCTTTGTCTTTGTCCAGAGCTGTCACTTGCAGAACAGCTGATCCCAGAGCAGCAGATTCAAACACAGACGCTTCGTACAGTGGGTTGGTAAAATAAGGGCTGTGATCATTAGCATCCTCCACATTCACAATGACTCGGGCCAAGTTTCTTCGATAAGGAAACTCCTGATCTCTGACCTTTAGGCAAAATACAAGAAGTGGTGGGACTCAAATCTTAAATAGCAAAGAACTCACATGGCTATGTCTGGGGTGAAGACAAAATGAAATAATGCATGTAAAGTGCTTGACCCAGTTCCAGGCTTCTAGTAGGGTCTCAATAAATGGTAGTATCGTCGAGTGAGGAAACATTGGGAGGAAATCATGAGCAGGGGTTACAATACCTTTACTGCTCAGCCTAATGTCTGGCCTGTGGTCTGTGCTCAGTCTGTGTGTGTAGAATTGATGCCTTGATATCACACACACAGTGCTGTGCTCTGGCTCTCCCCGTACAATGGCCTCGCCCTTATTAGTGTACACAGCTGATAACAGAATAGTGGATAGAGGCTCTTCTGTAGGGGCAACTAAAGACTGGAATTAATGAACACAATGTAGGTATTTCCATTCATCTATTCAACAAACATTTATTGTCACCTATCTGTCTTAAGTCCTTGGCTTTGCTCTGGTGGTTCAGCAGTGAATTTGATACAGTTCCTGCCCTCAAGAAGCTTAGAGTCAAGTGGGAATACAAACAAGTAAATAGATGGGTATAATGCTCAGGGCTAAGTATTCTCATGGGATGTACTAAAGGTGCTCGCAGAATAGTGAGAAGAAACTAACCTAGCATTTCGCTTCCTGAAAAAGGTAACAAGAACAAGTAGGAGTGGTAAAATGGTGGTGGTAGTAGTGTGTGGCATTTTCAGGCAAAAAAGCCAATATATACAAAAGTCTAGAGTTGAGAGAACCCTGACCATTGGGAAGATGAATCAAATCTTAATTTCTTACTTAGAGAAACGTTAAATAAAATGTCACACTTGACACAACCATTTGTCATTTTCTTCAAAGTGCTGAAGCACCCCCTTTCTGATTTCACCAGAAAACCTTGCTTGGCAGTTTTAAAGTTTCCTTTAGTTTGTATATGGCAGAAGCTTGCAAATAATCATTTCTTTAACCACAAGGTTTTGCTATCATTTGATGTAGCACTAATCAAATATGTGCTCTTGGCTTTTTCAATTTTAAACTCCATACCTGCAGAGAGATGTGAAGAAATTAGAAAATATACCGAAAAGAGCCAACAAAGAGAAAGGGGTTTTCAGAAATAGTACCTAGGAGGAATGAGCAAAATGACTAAAATGGCTTAGCTAGGAGAAAGGCAGTGTAAAGCACTTGTTTGCTCGAAATATTCAATTATGTAAGTGGTAAATGGTAGAGGGTGACCAAATGGATTTCTGAGTTTGTTAAAGAAAGAATGAACAGAAATGGCTTAAAGAATCATGAGAATGGAGTTAGTCACTAGCACAAGGTTTCTGCCCTTCAGGAAAACACATGCAGAATTAGCCCAGTGAATATGCTGAATTTCCCTGTCTACAGACTGGTCTGCCATACCCAAGGACCAAGCTGAACTCTTTATTTGGGGATTGTTGAAATCCAGGTCAGTTCCAATTAAGCGTAAGCTCCTAGAGTGCAGGAACTTTGTCTTTTTTGTATCTTCAGTGCCTAGAAGAGTGTTTGGTGCATAGTAGGTGCTTGAGAAATATATGTTAAACGAATGAATGAAGGGCCAGAGTGATGACTGGAAGACCTCTATAAGTAACGCCATCTGTTTCCTGGAGTCTTAGTTGGAAACTATAGCTAAGTGTATGACACTCAAACTTCCTCTTGTGGGGGAAGGTTTCTAGTCTTATGAAAGAAAAGTAAAACTTAGTGGAACATTACTTTCAGCTGCTTAGGAATTTGTACTGTCTTAGTGTGGTATTTTAGTACCAATCAGGGCAGAAGATTAAGTCTGTCCTTCTACCTGGTCTTAAAGGAACACTGTGGGGGCTCTGACAGGAAGTGGCTGTGCAATGCTGTGGGGATTCTTGGGTGGTTGGAGGGATAGACTTCAGGCCATAAATTAATCAAGGATGTTTCTTATTAATCTCTACTTCCCAATTATGTGAACTAGTTAAACACTACTCTAAAAGTAAAGCAATTTCTCCTACATAATTTGGAGGTCCCAAGAACACAAACTCAGATTGATACTCTCTGTAGGCTTTAGCATGTATTGAGATCTCTCTTGTGTACCAGTATTTACTACTAGGTCCAATGCCAGTACAATAAGTAATAAATTGGTTTTCCAAATCCTTCCAAGGACTGAGCATTGCATAGGCTGAGTAAATGATTACCCTTGTGATTAACTTCTCAAGGAATGTCTTTTCAATTTTTCTTTGAAATCTTCTGGGTGCAAACGAACCCCAGAGCCTGGGAACATGACCTGTTCCTTCCCTCTCAAGTCAGTCTGTTTGGAGCATTTACTGAGCAGCCCCTGCTGCAGAGCTTGTCTAATAGTTTAGTTTGGCAAAAATACAGAGTTGCTATCTAACAACAGTAATTCTTCATGAAATAAAAAGGCAAAAATGAAAGCAATCTCTCTGTGAAAAGACTAAATTTTCAACTACTTATAAAATTTAGGGGCCCTATACTTCTGAAGGCTAATGTGTGTGGCCTGAACAGTCAGTGGTTCTGTAGGAGAGCAAACTAGGATTTCGGTCCTACCATTATGTTGAGAATGTGCTTGTCCTGGGCCTCATGGTCCAGCCTCTCAGCAGTATAGAGCACGCCAGTGCTAGGGTCAATCCGGAATTTTCTCATGCTGATGGAGTCAATGCTGCTATGAACAGTGTAGCTCAGCTTGTGCTTCTCATCTCTATCTGTGGCTTCAATCTGCAAGATCTCTGTGTCTGGAAGCACATCCTCGGAAATTGTCACATCGTAATTCGGCTGAGAGAATTCTGGGCCATTATCATTATTATCCAGCACTTTGATAAATACCTATAGTTAAAAGAAGAGAAGAATGATGACTAATGCCAATTTGCTCATTGCTAATAAAAGTATGCCCTCCCTCCTTTTTTTCCCCCTTCCATGTCCTTGGATCCTAGCTTCTAGCAGCTCTTGCAACACAGAGGAAGCTCTCTTATAAAAACACTCTGTAATTAGAGGTTGACAATAAACGAGTAGTTTATATTAGCAGGAACATAAACTATGAGCTGATCAATATTCTCACTATTAATTGAACAGCTGCAACAGCTACTTGAAGGTGATAATTCTGTGGAATTCTTTGATGCACAATGTATATGATCACAAGGTGACCTTAGTTTGTTAAGGCGCCATTATCTTAAGTTCTTATTATGTGTTTCTCTTGGTGGACTTCTGTGGAGGCAGAGACAGAATGGGAAAAGGAGCACAGAAGAGGCAAAGGAGCCAATGGGGTGGGACTCAGAGCAGTCACAGCTTCTCAATGGCAGTGTCCATGCACTGTGGTTGTCCTGATAGGAGGGGTTTAGCAAAGAACATAGCTCTAATGATAGTTAAGGTATGAAGTTTCCCAATAAGTTTCCTAATTGTTTTCTTTCATAAAGCATTTTGTTATGTAAATTTTCAGACAAATATAAAATAGTGTAATGAACACTCCAGTATGTATCACTCAGCTTTGATAATAATCAATTGCTAATCTGGTTTCATCATACTGCCACTCATCCCTGCCTATTTCCCCATGTTATTTTAAAGCAAATCTCACCCATCATGTAATTTCAGTATGCATCTTTAAAAGACAGGACTCTTAGAATAAACACAAACACATACAATCCCATTGCTGCACCTAGGCAGAGAAAAGAGTAGTTCCTTAATATCATCAAACAGCCCATTGGTGTTCATACTTCTCTAATTGTTTTTAAGTATTTTTTTATCACATATATGCATATATATATATTCATAATTTCTTTTAATCAAGATATGCAAATAAGGGCCAAACATTGCATTTGGTTGATACATCCATAAATGGGTTAATTATATTTTAATTTATAGGTTCTCCTTCAAACTTTTCTCTTACTATTTCCTTGGATTTTTTACGGAGTTATTGCTAGTATTGAAGAAACTGAGCCATTTTTTCTTTAGTTTCCACAGTCTGAATTTTCCTTATAGTGCCCCTGTGGTTTTGTTTTACATGTCCCTCTGTACCCTGTAGTTCTTATAAACTGTTTGATCTAAAAGGTTTGCTAAGATTCAGTTTCCTTTTTTCTTGTTCTTTGTTTTTTTTTTTTTTTGACAAAAATCCTTGATGAGTGATTTAGTGTACTTCCATCTGGAGATACATAGTATCTGGTTCTCTCTCTTGTTCTGTGATATTAGCAGACACTGGCAATTATTATACAGATAATCCATTAAAAATTTCAGATTGATAATGTTCTAATTCTATTATTTTCTTCCTTATTTATTAGCTGGAATAGTTCTCTAAAAAGAAACTTCTCAACTATTTGGTTACTGTGAAGTACATTTCACATAGGAAAGGTAGGATAAATAATTCTTTCCCTTTATTATTTTGAAATAGTGAGTTGGTTCCTTAGCTCCTCCCAAAGTGACAAATGAGGTACTCTTTTTCAACCATTATTATGAACTCATGAATTTAATCACATCCGATTTGTTCCTCTCTATTGCAGTTATTATATTAATGATGCATAAATAGCCCTACCTTGGCCTGTAGGAGCCTCTTCCAGTTAGTTCTTGACATCTTTTGACATAACTCTAGTATTCTAAGATAGCTTCCTTGCTTTCTGATAATTGCTACCAGTAATTTTTTCCAGTGTTATTTTGCACATTTTCTGCCCCAATCTTGAATTACCCATTTCTCCAAAATTGCTTGTTTTCTTTTTAGTTACAAATGATACTTAGATACCATGATCCACTGCTAGGAATACTTATTGCTACTGGATTGGCTATTATGTTTCAGTTTTATTCACTGGACAGAGTCAGGAAAGGTTTGTGGTTTTTTAAAAATAAATATTTCATGAGTTCATATTGCTACTTCCTATTCAAAATTAGAGCATCAAGGTTTTTACTTAATCTCATTGTTTTTACATTTGTATCTCCTTTTTCTCATGCTGAAATTTCTCATGCTTAATGACATCATCAAAATTATTCATTGCTTTATTTGAACCACATGCACAAAAATCTCAGAATAATTCCAACATTCTTATTATAATTATAATTATGATCATTAAAAATAATTTTCATATTATTTTATAGTTCTTTTTATTTTTATAATTGTATAGGTATAATTATAATAATAAAATAAATTATAATTTATTCCTAGTTGGATAAATAATTGCAATTATTTTAGCATAATTGCAATTAAAAATACTATCTACTTTCTATCAGGTGCTATACAGGTTTAAGAAGAACAAGCAAGAATAACCAGGAATTTATCCAACTAGGAATATATAGTCAAACCAGTGTGTTCAAAGTCACTTAGAATAGATCTTCTTGGTATAGATGTGCCACCAACTAGATATACATCTAACATCGTTTGTTTCCATTTGTGTTCAAATTTTAGACTTGCTTTTTAAATATTTAATTTAATATTATATGTAAAGGTACCAAAGTTAAATTTACAAAAAATATATATTCAAAGCAGTTCAGCTTCTATACCTTCCCCCTACACTCTATTCCCTTCTCCTACAGATAACTTTACAAAAATGTATGGTTTACTCATCAAACATTTTGTTAATATAAACATACTTTATACACTCTTTCCTGCCATGCTATTTCATTTAACATTACAGTTACAATTAACATAACATTAACATCAGTTCTCAACTGGGGAGGGTTTTGTCTTCCAGGGGGCATTCAGTAGTGTCTGGAGGCATTTTTGGTTGTCACACTTGGAGGAGGGCTGTTACTGACATCCAGTAGGTACAGGCCAGGGATGCTGCTAAACATCCTACAACACACAGGACAGCCCCCGCAACAAAGAATTATCTGACCCAAAATATCAGTAGTGTTGCTGTGGAGAAACCCTGCATTATATCCTGAAGATAATGCCACAGAAGTACAGAGATACTCTTCCAGTGAGTAGATGAATCAGTTAATTTAACTAGTTTTCTACTGGTGTTCATTTAAGATGTCTCCAATTTTTGTTCTTAGAAAGAGTGTGCAAGGAAGAGCCTCGTGCCCATTTTTAAAATATTTTTTGCTAGCATATATTTGGGTTCTAGAATTGGGATGGTTGGATCAAAGTACAGGTGCTTAGTTTTATTATTATATATGTTTCCATATTTCCCCTGCCCAATGGTTTTATCATTTTGCATTCCCATGATAATATATAAGAATGATTGTTTCCACAACCTTGCCAACATAATATGTAGTAAGACTTCTAGATGTTTTGCCAATCTGATAGATGAGAAATGGCATTTCAGTATAGTTTTAATTTACCTTTCTCGTATTTTTGAGGTTGGAGAAACTTTTCATATATTTAAGATCCATTTGCATTTCTTTTTCTGTTAAATTATTTGCATCTCATCTCATTCTTCTACAGGTTAGACGGCCTCTCGTTCTTTATTTTTGGAAGTTTGGTGATATAAATTGCAAATATGCTTTCAATTTTGTCATGTATATTTATTTTGTTTATGGTGTTTTTTTTTTTTTTTTTTTTGCCATGCAAAAGTGAATACATCAATCTTTTTCCTTATTATTTCTGGATGTTAATTCATAGTTTAGAATATTTTTTGAGCTTTCAGGTTATAAATGGACACATTCATTTTAAAACATGCATTTGCATGTTTTCTTTTCTTTCATTTACATCGCTAATCAAGTTGGAATTTTTCCTGGCATACTGCGATTATTTTCCATATGGCTCTCCATTTATCTCAATGCTACTCTTTAGAAGACCATCACTTCCCACTGATTTGAGAAGCCACCTTTATTGTACTCTATATTTACACATGCAGTTAGCATGTCTGGATTTTTCTATTCAGCTCCATTGGTTTATCTGACTTCTTATGTATCAGTACCAAAATGTCTTAATTATAGAGGCTTTATAGTACATTTTAATGTTTGGAAAGGCTAGGCTCTCTTTTCCTTCTTTCTCATGGTTTTCCTGGCTATTCTTGCTTGTTCTTCTTAATAAACCTGTATAGCACCTGATAGAAACTGGATAGTATTTTTTATTGCAATTATGCTATAAGGACAGGTTAATAAAGGAAAACTGACTTCTTTCCAATGTAGTCTTCCTATCCAAGAATATGGTTTGTCTTTTTTCATTTGTTCAATCTACTGTTTTACCTTTCCGGGAACATTTAGTTTTCCTTAAATAGGTTTTGAACACATTTTAAAGTTTATATATGTACTACCCTAAATAGAGTCTTCTTTTCCAATATATATTACACTGTTTTTTTTTTTTTTTTTGGTTGTATATATGTAGGCTATTGATTTTTGTATGTTAAATTTTTAACCTGTTATTTTAATAAATTTTCCTATTACTTATAGAAGTTTTTCCTTTCAGTCTTTTGAGTTTTTCAGATATATAATTATACTACATACAAACAGAGATAGTTCTACCTTTTTCTTTATGACACAAACTGGTTTATCTTGTCTAATTGCGTTGGCTATTACAGCATGACAGTAAATAGTAGTGAACATAGTGATGCTCTTGTCTGATTCCTGACTAACAGAAAAAATCCTCTAGTTATTCTCTATTAAATATTATGCTAGTGTTTGGCTATATTTCAGAACATTATTTACTTTTAAAAATAAATGCAACCAGATTATGGCTATCTGCATAAATGGCTGCACTATCACTCACTTTGGTACAAATATGCCTTTTTTGAGGAAGAGACAAGCGGTGGTGCTATCACCTCTGTGCCAGGATAACTTGCCATTCCGAGTCAGCTGGACATGGGACAAGTTTGCCCTGTAGTAGTTTGTGGTAGAAAAAGGGTTAAAAAGTGTGCCAGTAAAGTTTTGGGTATTGTTCTTATCTCCACTGTATTTGCAGAACC